ATGGCTGCTTGTGTTGCAACCGAAACGTCGTACGCTATTATGTTATTTTATTATTTCTTATTTATACGTGACTTTACCGAAAAAAAAGAAAGAGTAAAACTTAAACGCATGTTTATACTGGTAGGAACCTCCTGGTTACACCAGCCCACAGGGGATTCTTGTGTCCGTCCGTCCGTCGTGCTTCCAAAAATGGGAGGGGTGGGGCTGGGTGGAGAGGGGAGGGTGGGTAGGGGCTGGGTGGAGAGGGAGGGGCTGGGTGGGGAGGGTGGGGAGAGGCTGGGTTGGGAGGGTAGGGCTGGGTGGGGAGGGGAGGGTGGGTGGGGCTGGGTGGGGAGGGTGGGGAGGGGCTGGGTGGGGAGGGGCTGGGTGGGGGGTGGGAGGGGTGGGGCTGGGTGGGGAGGGGCTGGTCACCCCGTGGTGCCCTTATAAAACTCAACGTTTAACCTACTCACGCCGGCTTGTGCCCGCCCTCAGTCGGGCATATTTGCGGAATACACCACGTGGTGCCGCCGTTGACTCTGGCCATTGACCGAGCAACCCAACGTCCCTACCAGCTCCCTCCACAGGAGAAGTGTTAAGACGATAAATGTAAGCGTGGCTTTTTTTACAGCACGCGATTCGATGCATTTAAGAATGCACTGCTGGATGAGGGTACGAGCAACGTTGTTTGGCTATAAACTAGATTCGAAGCTTTCGTGACTGCAGGAATTACTCTTTGGTTCTTTCGGTAAAGTCACGGTAGAAAGAAATCTACTTAAATACTAGAATACGACGTTTCGATTGCAACACAAGCAACCATCATCAGGTACAAATGAATGAGAAAACAAACCTAGTAAACTTAGAAATATAATGCAATACAACACAGAGAGTCGGCCAACAAAACAGTCAACACCCCACCTGGTTGATTACGTTCTTCCAAAGATTGCTAAATTTGAGAGAGAGAGACTAAACACAGACACGGAGACACACAGACACACGCAGAGATCGACTCACACAGAGACAGAGAGAGACACACACATAGGCACACAGAAAGACAACGTCTCTGTGTCGAGGCATTAAAGAGAGGGAGAGAGGGGGGTGGGGCAGAGGGGGAGTTGTGTGGAATTCCTGCCCATAGCATCGGAAGTATGAACGCTGAGAATTGTGTGGAGAATGTTCGGAGATGGAAAAGTGTTTCAATGTCGCTTTGGAGAATGGAAAAGATGAGCTGGAGAGATAGAGACGGATTGAAGAGGTGTTCAGGATGATAAGAGAGAAACGAACCTTGCTCGAGATCGTCATGCACGAGAAAGAAGACATCGATTGGGTTGTGCGAGGTGAGGTCTTGGGTACGAGAGAGATGAAGAGGCAGATCCGTGGTACATCGGCATAGAACTTCATCAAAGCGATCCGTATGGAGGAGCAGCAATTAACGGGACGGAAAGCGTCAGAAGTGCAGGCAAAAGAATGCTTGTAGAACAAAAGTTAACAATATTATAGAATTATTATAATATTAACGTAAACAGGCATGTTGCACCATGCTACAGTAAAGTGACTTGGGTATTAGGGAATGGTAAATTGCTCTGTCTTTCGTGAAGTGAGTTCTTGTTGAAATCCCATTTCTTCAGAACTGCTTTCTTTCGTGTTTATTCGTTTGTCGTCCTTCCCGCGCACCTCCGATGTGCGCGGTTTGCTACGTGGGTACGGTGCGAAAAAAGTTCGACGTTCACGCAGTACACACAAGAGGAAGATGATGTTTGCATGAATACAGAAACGACGCGGGCATGAAGAGAAAGGGGTCAACAAATGGTGGACGCGTTGGTGACACGTGAAGAATGTTCACCCCCCCTCCCCCTAATGACGAGGGCCTTCTTTAAAGACAGTGCCAAGTGCACTGGAGGGGCATCGTGGACAGATTGGAATAATATAATATAAGAATAGGTTCTACCCTTTGTTTGCATGTTCACCACAATTATATGTGGTTAATGCAGACATGATTCCTTGCAAAATGGTTCCGTTTGGTGTTTTAACATCTTAACACAACTGTTTCATTGCCAAAACGGTAACACCTCTGCTTATATTTTGACACTAGCAAGGGAGGTCCCATGATGTAGATGCTCACCCCGAGCTCTCATTACTCTGATAGTGGCATTGTCTTTGTGCTGTTCGCCTTTTGGCGTCCTCTGGTCTAACACCGTTTGAGACGAGGCTCAAAAGAAAGCTGTCTCTGGTGTGGACCAATCAGCTTCAAAGAATGCATCATCATATACTACCAGAGCATGTTTTTTGTTTGTTTGCATGTTCACCACAATTATATGTGGTTAATATAGACATGATTCCTTGCAAAAGGTTTAAGTTTGGTGTTTTAACATCTTAACACAACCGTTTCATTGCCAGAAAGGGTAACGCCTATTCTTATATTTTGATACTGGCAAGGGAGGTCCCCATGATGAGATTGGAAGAACACTGGTGAGACAAGGCCACCACGAAAGTCGTTTCTCGTGTCGGCCAATCAGTTTCAAGGACAACGCAAATATAATTATCAGACGACGTTTGTTTTGCCACAAGCAGTGAATGCAGACTTGATGCCTCGCAAAAGGTATCTATGTTGGTGTTTGAGCCTCTTAACACAACTGTTTTATTGCCGTAAAAGGTGAAACCTATTCTTATTTCTCATCATTTTTGATACTGCCAAAAAGGTCCTATCGATATACTGGAATAAGGCGCAGTGATCGAGAGGCGGGAAGTCACGGAACGGACCACGGTGTCTTTAATGATACGGAAAACATAACAACCAAACAAACATTATCACACATTGAGAGAAAAAACAGTTCTGAAATATTGCAAGTTACACATTTTTAGTTTACACTTCTTAAACGTCTCAACGTTTGTTTCATCACACGGAGTGTTAAAAAATTTTGTTACAACTTTAATAATATTTTTTCCTCGATACAGTTAACAATCTATATAAGTTAACTCCGCAATTCCATCTTGGCTTAAAAGTTGAAAAAAAAACACCGGTGAAGTCGTGCAGTGTTAAAACCTTTGACAGTACCAGTCACTAGGACATCCATTCCTGTGTACGATATGCGTGTGGAATTTCTCTGTGTACTCGGCATCTTTATTTATTACTGGAGGAACCCGACAAGCTATAAAGCTCTTTTTCACAAATGTACAGTAGGAGCTGGTCAGAATGTTACAATAACAAGCAATACAAAAACACGATTAGGAGTGCAAAGTATAGGAAATGTAACCAAATCACTCAAATATCTCCGTCGATTTCCCCAGGTACTCTACTGCACTCTCTCAGGCGACGCAGGAATTCGGTAAAACATTCCAAACGCGGGCACCTTCCTGAGGTGAAAACAAAACAAGAAGACCTCGAGACTTGCCGGCCTTTTAAAATATGAATGAAAATTCTGATAAAATTACAATAAAAATGTTAATGAAACGTAAATTCCACGCTAGCTCAACCCACAGCGGGTTGGAGGACCTCCTCACACAATTGTCGGTCACGGGGGCAACTGAACCATACTTCATGCTGGTTGTTGAACGAGGTATGTATGTGGTCGTACTGCACGTTAAACTTCTTTCGCACCTTACGTGGCCAAAACGTGGTCATCGGGTGTGAACGACGACAAACGAAGACAAAAAAGCGGTTCGAAAGAAATGGGTTTTGAAGCTAGGAGGTGAGGGCAGGACCGGTTCAGATTTAGAAACGCGCGTTCAAGAGTATATGGCTGCGAAAAATTATGTCCACGCGATAAGCCACTTCGTTGACCAATCATTGTGTGGCCAGGTCGCTTCTGAAAGAGTTGCCGCATAGCTCAGTGGGCCTTACCTGGTAAAATAAAATTGAAAAAATTATTTTAATAAGTAATCGCTCGCCACTGATGTTAATCCGTGGTCGGGTTGGGGCAATGCTGTTAAACATTTAAGCGAATCGGCTCTCGATTGAGTTCTTTTTTCTTCTGTACTCGTATAAACCGGTGAGGAGAGCTCACAAGCCAGACCAAAGGCTCTTTTTACAAAGCGAGTTTTGTGCACCCGATAACACTTTGCACTTCAAAAAAACACCGTTTTACCAGCAATTCGCTATTCGGAGAGCGAGAACCGTCCAGCCTCGGATTCGTTTCCAGAACATTTGCGACGGGCCATTTGAGCCATCGCCGCAGGCGTGGAAATAAATCCCGACGATGCCGTGGCCGAGAATTTCAGTGTAACGTGGCACCACGGTAACGCAGACGTTGCGTTCGAAACGTCTTCTCGCTGCACTTCATCGCGCAAGAAAAAGGCCCGAAGACGTCCCCACAGGGCCAGTGGTTCTCAATCGGGAGGGCGGTACGTGGCAATGTCCCAGCCGGTGTACGCGAGGTGATTTATTTTAATAATTTTTAAAAAACGTGCGAAATAACACCATGTGCGAGAGTCGTCGGTGAATAATTCACGATGCAACACAATTTTTGTCCCTGGGTACTAAGTGTTATTTTTTTTATTGCTTATGCCTAAAAAGTATAGAAAATGGCTATTATTATTATTATTCCCCACAAACTTTTCTTTTGTGTCCGGGACTTTACGTGAAGGAATTACACAAATGCACACCACGTATTTCTCATTCACAATAGGTACATTTAAAAATATCACTGTCCTGGTCACAAAAGCAAAGTTTGTGGGAAGACATTTTCTGTACTTTTGAGGCATAAGCAATTAGGAAATAGCACTTACTACCCAGGAACAAAAAAAAGTATCGCTACACAGTGTAATAATGCTACGAATGTGCCCATATGAAGTAACTCCGATACATTTCAAATCCATATGGGTAACCTCGAACGATGTAAAACGACTTTTAGAAAACTCATTGATCGCAAACAACGCGGGCTTCCAAGAGTCGCCAGCAAGCGCGAACACATCACGGGCACGCACATGCAGAGCGTCCGTTGGTTTTTGCTCTTAAGAGGTTTTTTTCGGGGGTTAGATCACGTAAATGTGTGTCGTTAAAAGCCGCCACATTTATATATTTACGTGATCTAACCCCCCCCCCCAAAAAAAAAACTCTCTTGAATGATATTGGTCGCGAAAGCCTACTGGTTAACTGATTTTTGTCGTTATAATTGCTTGCGGGTACCAGCTGATTAGGATTATCTCACAAAAATGGGACAATCGGTTAAAATATTGATGTTCATTATTCATACATTTTATTTCTCAGAACCATGTTAGGGCTAGCAAGGGGGGGGGGTGGACTCGGTTGAAAACTAACATTCAATAACGGGGTACAACACAAGTAGCCAACAAAACGTTGAGAAGCACGTCCCCCACCAGCTACCTGGAGGGCCTCGCTTGAGTTCCCTCTCGTCAGCCAGCGGTAGAGCGAGCAAGTAATTGCAGGGATGCACACCTACCACCCTCAGTGTATGTGCATATTTTGAAAATGCGAGATGTATCGTAGTCTCACGTATTATAAAATGCACTTACATTCCCTGCATCCTCAAGCAGAAGTTAGGCTTGCGTATTATCATCTGGTAGGCATTCGCGTTTTTATCAGTTTTTTTACTTTATCTTTCTTACTTTGACACAGCACACATTTTTGGGTGCGCTTTACACTCCGGAGCATCTTATAATCTGGGGAATACGACATATACATATATATACACATGTCTATATCTCTGAGCGAAAAGCTTTGTAGAAATTGTGTTGGTCTCGGTTCAAAACAAGCATTCGTTGGAACATTGACCAAAAGCTACTCGTAGCGTATCGAGGCCTAGCTCCTTCAGAGAAGGCGAAACACGCTGCTATGACGAAAACACCCGTGTCATTTGCCCCGGATCATAAGAACCCCGAGGTCGCCGTCCAGTATCGTCAACTTCATCAAGGATTTCGCTCTCTCAAGCCATCCAAACTACGGCGTAACAAGCGGTCTCCGTCACCTAGTACCCTGGCATAGACAAGACCGGGGGGGCTTTGAGATGGGAGGTGGATTTGGATGATTCTTTTGAAGCTGACGAATGTCCGCGAATCAGGAAACTCTGGAACGGTTTCCTCCACTGTAAGAAGAATAATAATACATGCCAAAGGCGATCACGAGACGAAAAAGGGTGTCATCTTGACCTCTGGCTCGGTCCGCCAATGACGCCTTGCATGCCACGCGACATCGCCGCCGTGTGGCGTGTATAATGCGCACGCGGCCACGTTTCGGACCAACCATATAGAGAGTTCCAAAAAAAATCGTCGTCGTGAGTTTCTCAACATTTACCCACCGCACATTGCTGGGACTCCTTTACCAACCGGCAAGATGCGGACACTTGACGCACAAATGGAACGTTCTGAGCTTTCCGCCGCGCGACCGCGGTCACACAGAACGCAACCACCGAGCGAATAAACGACTACTCGACGCTCGGTTCACAAATACCAAAGGGGAGGCATCGTCGCAGCGATGCAACCAACTCCCCTACTCCTGACAATCACTTGGCTCAAACATCGTAATGGCGTAGTAAGGACATTGCCAGCTGGGGGGAGGGGGCCCAATATTTTGATTCGTCTCACACAGTCGCCTAACGTTACCGCTCTCATTTAATTAAAATAAAACGTGGAACGTAAATTAAAGCATTGTTATTATTCAATAAAATACATTTAAACCGCGTTTTAAATAAGCGTGTTGTTCTTTTGCACCGATGTCAAGGGCCCCCCCTCCCCCAACTCATAGCTTTGGCCACAAGGGGAGTCACAGTACCCCCTGCCCCCATACGAGCTACGCTACTGCCTCGATGTGAAACTATTGCTGTTGCTCTACATCGACATAAGCCTTGCAAAGACCGACCACCCCAGCAAACTTGAGTGTTGCCCCTCGACCAACGTTTCTGAGCCGAGGAACCCACACGGGCGAAATTAAATATTTCCTTCGCCAAATCAACGACGGGCAAAGGTTCACAAATTGGCGGAAAGGACCGCTTATTGCTCATTTTTGGCAGATAAAAGACAAACGTCTACGAGCGTGTAGGTTCTCGCGGTCGATAACGCTCTGAAGGTTAAAATGCCACCGATGTGCAAGAAAACTATTTCGGTGTATTTTTTGTCGCTGCCAATTTTGAGTATTGCATCGCTACTGCATAGGTCTCCGTGCGGTACAGCTCTCCGATGCGTTTCCTGGTCATCCCGGCAAGACGTCCGGGCTAGGGGGGAGGGGTGCATTTGGCTCCACGTGCCGGCGAGCTTCTCCGGGAACTGAACGTCGCTCCCCCAGCACTTCGGGGGCTGAAACGTTGCCGAAGCAGCTCCCAGCAACGCGAAGCGAAACGTCGGACACCACCACGCTGAGAGAACAAGACGAGGGGGCACACGTATCGGAGAGCCGGCTAAACGCCGTGCGCTGTTTTTGTAAGACGATGCCATTCTTCTGCTGAATATTGGCACTTTTTTTTTGCCCCATCCCCCCCTTTCAAATATATCAAACAGGCCCCGGTTACTTAACCTGCCTCAAACGCCTTGTGTGCACGCACAAACACAGATACCCACACATAAACACACATGCACAAGCATTGTAGTCGAAGTTATGAGAATGAGGCGTGGAATGGTTGCAGTGACCTACAGTTAAGTGTTTGTTTTCAAGCACCAGGTTTGCAAGGGCGTCCGAGTCACTTCACAAAAGATACATTTCGTAACACTTTTTTTTTAAGAAAGAAAAAAAAACGCACACTCCTACTTAAACCAAATAAAACACGGTGATAGATTCCTGCCAAACAAATCTCATTCAATCTAGATCCAAGAGACGCAGGGTCCTTCTGGACAAAACAATTTTCCGGGCAGCATTGCGATGGAGCAGGCGTAACCTTGGGCCACGTTTTTACATTCCGAGTTCCATAAGTCAGGGTGGAAGCTGGGTCCCATTAAAACGAATGCTGCTGGGTTGCCCGTTGAAACGGGCAAGAATTATCATGCGGTTTTCATTCTTGAACCACAACGATCCGTGAAACTATGCAACTCGTTATCCATGCGTCACGATCACAACTTAAAGAGCGGAACGAACGCCCTCGCACGAAAGGGGGATGGGGCTCATAATTGCACAATCGCTCCGGTTTCGGTAAACACGGCACACACGTGAGCCTCGCTGGTTGCTTTTTTTGTCACGCGCCGCACCTATTTCTGGCCATGCAGCCCCCAAAGGCGTTATTTGGAGGGGTGGCGGTGGTGGTGGTGGGGGGGGGGTACTTCCGAAAAAAGAGGTCAACAGGTGAACGACGCACAGGCCGTGTACAGTTAGCAGCATTGCAACAAACAACCAAAATAAATCGTGCCGAGCTTGTTAAAAGTACAACTGCAGCTAACGGCGGCTCTTTCAGTAATTACCCTCTTGTGCAATCGTACGTTTCCTTTTGTAAAACGGTCCCCCCCCCCCTCTCCATCCACCGCTCCCCGTTCGTACCAATTTCGCAACGTTATCGTGACGTGACCTGTAATGCGAGCGCGAACGGTAACCCGTGCCAAACACCAACACGCGGCGGTTACGACTCGAACCCGTATCGAACGGGCATCACGTGCCTCGGCACCCATGAAGAAGGTTGCCTTGTTCAGGAAGCTTGTTCGCTGCGAAGACGGAACCCATCCGGCTAACCTCATCCAGGTGGTTGGACGGCCACCCGGATAAAGGTTCGCAGTGGCCATATCAATGACGCAGAGCCCTGCACCACACCGCATAGGACCTGGGTTTGAGTCCACGTTTCGACAGACCTGAAATCTCCCAACTTTCTGAATTAAAAAAGTATTCTTCATCGCACAATGATAGCTCTTTGTAGGGCGTAAGAGTGTGCCACCCACGGTGAATACGATTTGCGCTGTAGTGATCTAAAAAGTAATTCTGAAGGCATCATTCAGAGCCATTCTCTCCTGGCACAGGGCGATGCACTGCTATGTCAACAGGTTAACATGGACATTCATTAGTGTTGTGGCACAGCTACGAAAACACATCATAAATCCAAGTGTAACAACAAGTTGTATATTATACAGCATATTTACACCGATTAACTAAATCAACATACCTTTCTTTTTCAGTTGCACATGGTCAACAACACTGTTTAACAGTCCCCATTCGGACTACACACGGCCATTGATCACCCATGTCAAGTGATGGGGTAACCTTTTTCCTTCTGCGAGTCAAATAGGACCCTCAAATAACTTTGGAGACCAACAACGCGTGAACGAACACACACACACCCCCTCAGCCACTCTGCCGCAAGAGGCCTCTTGTGCGGGGACAAGTGACTGAGCATTTTAATATTTCGTTTGACTTAACAGTCGTGTGGCCACTGGGGCCGTACAGAAATTAAGTCGTGGGCTGGATCCGGCCCCTTGGAATGTGCGGGTTACCCCCCCCCACCTCCCCCACCACGTCGCCAACCAATCGCGAGCGATCGTTTTGCATCATTGCTACTTCCACACAAACTCTTCAGACGACGTTTCCCCCCACCCCCCTCCGAGCGTCGCCACCAATGTGCGAGCGGCGTCGACCGGACGGAAGAGCGGCGTTCGGGAAGGCGCCAGCCTCCTCTCGGAGCCGACGACCTCACTCGGGGTCGGCGGCGGCGGCGGCGGCGTCGTCGTCGTCGGAGGCGCGCACGGTCGTCTCCTCGCGCCACGCGTTGCTCGCGACGCACAGCGTGAGCCCGACCCCCATCAGAAGCATCCCCAACAGAGCCCCTGTGGGCGAGGTGGGGGGGGGGAGGAATCCACACGCCACGGCACATCACGCCACACCACCAATGCAAATCAATTTGGAATTATATAGCGTCCGAATGTGACGGCGTCCCAGCAGTGTGTGTATATTTGTTTTTAGAAATGAGGCAGGCAGGCAGTTGGTCATAGGGCCATAGTAAAAATTAGGAAGGTCTTGAGCTTGGACTTGAAACAAAAGGAGAATTCACAGCGTGAATGGCCGGGGATGTGGGGAGTTTCAGACAATTTGGGTAGCAAGAGGAGAACGAGCGACCTCTCACCGAGTAAAAGGTCCACCGACGTACGGCTTCAACAGGTGCCTTGATTGGTTGTAGTGGAGAGTGCACGGACAGGAGCAGAGTGAGATGAGTGGGGAGATTTTGGAGTGCGTGTGGAGTGGATCAGAGTGAGAGGAGAGGGGAGAGGTAGGTCAGGGGGCCAGTCCGAGGAGGACCTTGAAGACCACGAGTGCCACGTTGAAGTGATCCGAGATGGGATTGGAAGCCAGTGGAGCGAGCGGAGAGCTTTGGAGCGACGATGTGCTCTCGTTCACCGGAGTGGGCGAGCAGTCTGGTAAATCGGGTCGCATTCGCAAAAGAGCGGCTGCTTTTGGTTGCAACCTTTTATTTTAATCTCACCCGAAAACAACCGTGGTGCGTGCGTTTTTTGTGGATTTGAGTAAAAAAAATTCGTCAATTCTTTTTACGTCTCCCATAGGCAGATGGGGGGGGGGCGGGGGGGATGGTGCAACGCATTCCGTGAAACGCGCAACGCATTGTGATTGTAATTAATTGTGCGATTCGTGGATATCACTTATGAGACAAACTCAAAATTAACCGACGTTAAAACCCTTTATATATTTTAAAAATACGACAAATGTGGCATCACCCAAGTTGTTATTACTGGGTTCCCTCCACCGCCTCCACCGCCTCTGTTGGAGGTCGTGTGAATTCAGTGACGCCCCGTCGGGCAATGTGCAGTGGAGTGCACTCACGCGTCCCTCCGATGTTTTCTCCCAGGAGCTTGCCCGTAATGAGCGTGAAGATGAACGTCAGCGAGTTGGTCAAGGGCACGGCCACGGACAAGTCTGCGGGGAGGGGCCGATCAAGGCAAAGCAACCACGGGCAGCCGCTAATTAATGTACGGCAAACCGTGTTCCAAAATTCGTACATGTTAATACGCCTACGTGCCTTACCGTTTTGAGTTTCGAATTGTGTAAGCAGGTGAGCGTGACTTGTAATCCGCATGGTAGCATCAGTTATGTTAAAAAAATTGTAAAAAATATGATATTTATATTTTTTTCTCTTCAGGTCCGGCCTTCCTTTAAATCACAACTTGCTCCGCCCCGGCTAAAGCGATGTCCAGGCGCTACTCACCAGCTGAGCCGAGGGTGAAGTAATACAGCAAGGAGCCACTCTGGTTCAGGACAAACGGGACCATGTACTGTTGAGAGATCCAATACACAACATCCACCATTAGGTCAGCATCTATACCATCATCGCCTCCAACATCACATTCATCGATATAGATCTATCAAGCTCTCATATCTGCGCCAGATGTTAGGGGGGCTCTGAACCAGACATTTGAAAGAAGTGGAGACCCACAAAAGGAGGTGCAAACATAATTAACTGTAGAACCCAGATAAAAACATTATAAATGTAAAGTGTGCTCGTCAAAGCAAACGATTGTGAATGTACCAAGTAAAATACTCGATGGCGGCAGCAGAATCAAATTAGATCCAGTAAAATCGAGCAATGGAAAAGCTGTGTTCTTGCAGTCAAATTTTCCTCCATTATCGCATCGCGTTGACGCTAGAATTGCACTTAAAAGTAAGTACGTTGGGAATATTTGACAGGAAGGATGCAATTGTCCTGGCATCCTTCGTGGACTGCAGCACAGCAAGACTGAGGGGCAGTGACAAGCTTTTGGGAAACCTTCATCTATGATAATAGTATAATTTACTTAATTATTTATCCAGGAAACCCACACGGAGTCACGGGACTTACTTTCAGGAGGATTTTGTATTGGGTTTTTATTTTAAGGGGGTTTCAGCCAAATTATGAGTTTATAAGCAGGAGGAAACAAAAGTACACGGATATAACCCACGTGCGCGAGGGGGAAACGCTCGATCACCGCACAGATGGTTATTAGAGTCCAATTGCTGTACTACCTTCTAGCAAGCCTTGGTAGGGCACGACCTCGACGCCAACAGTAAGAGAGTTTAACAACATCTGGTGCGATGATCCACCGACCCTTGGCTGCTGCCTTCACAGTGCTGGATTATAGGTCACGTGCGTAGCCACCCCCGCCCGTATCTATCGATGGATACGTCATGGCTGATGATGATGATAACGGTGACGAAATCTTGCAGAAACTGTGGTGGCACATCGCGATGGCGTTATGTAAGAGAGCAGAAGAATGGCCGAATCAAATTCGGCAGCCACATATGCAACTTCTTTCACAGCGTACGAAGCCAACCGTGTTTATGTGAGGTGTGGCTTTAGCCCCCAACAATTTCGCAGCTGACCACTTACTGTCATGTGACCATTCAACTCCGTGGATTTGAAGGCACCTTCAAGCAAGAATTTTTCTATTTTTTTCCAGATCTCACAATTCCCGCGCAGGAGTTCAACGCGTTCAGTGGCATTTTAACTGCCACCTGCCCGCGCCCACGGATCTGCTTCTGTGTTTTAGCACCGGCTAGGTGGCGGCGGGTGGGGGAGGGGGGAAGGAAATGTTTCAACATATTTACTAAACCGTTTTTTTGTTAGAATGAGTTCAACACATTCGGGCATGTCGGTCAACATGGCTGCAGCAGCAGCAGCAGTTATGACGTTTGCTTTGAGCAACCGAAATTTATTTTGTTTACTGAAAATATTTAACCAGGAAAGGCCACGTGGCCACACACACGAGGCATCTTATTTTAACAGGTGTGCCTGCAGATGGGTTACTGGCCCTTTGTGGGGAAATGTTTAACACTCTTCAGCCTTTGATGCGCGCACAGACTCACTCCCCGCGCGAGGCCGACTTATTGCACCTCGTGGAGGATCGCTGCGCTGAACAAAACAGTTCCGCGGATCAGTTTGCAATATCGAATTTGCGTTTCAAATCAATGTTTTAAAAAAAAACATTTTTAACGGAAGCTGGTTCGTAAGTGCTGGTGTTCGTACGTCGAGGACTGTCTGTATTGGGTGCTTGCACATTTGCTCTACCAGTCTGTTAAAAAATTAAATGTGTTTGCACACATGCTTAAACTTTGCCTAGCTGCGCCCCCATCTAAACTACCCTCAAGTTTCCCTGTACAGCAGCTGCACTTTCAACTTCGGTCCAAATCGTTTTGGTCAGTTTAACTTCGTCACTCCGAATGTGCCTCTGTCTGTCGTTGTCCGTAATATTGGGATGATGTCGTCCATTCGCTTCATTGGTCATCATCCACAAGTTGATATCCGTCTCACGTTCGCTTGGTAGATGCGTAGCGTGCGTGTACAATCCTCAGTTTAACACGTAGGCTTTCGCGACCGATATCATCCATAATACAAGAAGAGCGCACAAGCGTTGTCATCGCATCTACGCCTCTATATAAGGAACGAGAAAGGTGGACTTCTCCACAAATCTGGCTGTCGCCTGATGAAGCTAGTTGTAATTACTACCGAAACGTCGTACTCGGTTTGTAAATGTTGTGGCTTGGCTCTCCAACACACCGGTTAGTGCTGTACTAGTGACGAATTGGCCACGTTTTGTTTATGTGACAACCCTTACTAGTTGGCTGTGTCGGGCGGTGGCGAGTTCAACGCCGCATTGATATATTTTCTCGATCTAACCCCCCCAAAAAAACCTCTATTATAGGTGTATAATCTCGCGAGTTCGACCCCAGATTCTGTGTCTGCGCCCGACAGGTCATCCTCGCCACTATGGGAGTTGACCTGAAACGGTCGAAAAGCTTATTATGGGGCACAACAATTCACCACCTCGACAAGTCGATGAATTGTTCTGTGTTTAAATTCCAAATGTAAAGATGTCCATTTTCATGAAAGTAGTGGCCCACTCGATTGGCTGCAGGGTTCACGTGAGCGCATTACAAACAATGCATACAAATCACGACCACAGGTAGTGATACGAGTTCTTTATTTTTACATCGCTATTTTTTTTTGTTAGTCTCCCCCCTCCCTCATTGTTTGTGGTTTGTGCTATCGGCATCAGCATCACGATGTGAAGAATTTATTCGGAACTCAAGAAGTGCAGCGCAATTTCCTCCCCCCACCCTCTCCCCTCTTATCCTCTTACCCCTCCCTCCCCGTGTTTGAAAATGATTGCCTACGGACATGGATATATAAAAAAATATATACTCCACGCTCGAGGGACGGCACGGGGTGCACTTTCCCACCTGCTCTGCCACTGACGGCAACGTTTGTCGTCGCCACGACAGGGTGAATCTAGAAATATTTTTTTGTAATTCTCAGAGCAAATTGAACAAAATTAAGCTCAGAACAAAATGTATATGTTACCTTTTTGTGTGTGTTTGTACAGTTCATTGGTGACCTGCGGCCGAGACCATTAGCCTCGCTCCACTGGAAAATCCGGTTGAAGCACAAAGTGGCTGCCTGGATTAAAAAATAATCCGAAGAGCAATATGCACAACCGCGAGTTGGCCTATCGCAGAGACCGCAAGCAAATCCATCGCACCCTTCGCAGCATGAGAGGAGAAGAGAGGAGCTCCCAAAAACGGTTTGTATTGCCCACAAGATAGCGTGGAAGCGGGATGAGTTGTTGGAACGAAACTAGCGTGAACGCATTTTGCTGAATGTTCACACGGCAATGAGATGCCTCGATAATTGTTCGATCAAAAAAAAGGGTGCAAAACAGTGACATGTACGTATGCATGCATGTTGTAGCCAAGGTAATGACAGAGGTATCAGTTGTGAGTTCGAAGGAATTGGTGGCGACGGCAATGATCGAGAAGTGAGAGCAGAAGGTGACAGAAGAGGACGGTGGAGTCTGCGGGTTGGGTCGAACGTCCAGAGTCAGTGAAAAGGTTCGGGAAGGGCGGTGTGGCCTGTGTTGGTATACAGTGAGGGAAAAAAGTATTTGATCCCCTGCTGATTTTGTACGTTTGCCCACTGACAAAGAAATGATAAGTCTATAATTTTAATGATAGATTTATTTGAACAGTGAGAGACAGAATAACAACAACAAAATCCAGAAACACGCATGTTATAAATTTATTTGCATTTTAATGAGGGAAATAAGTATTTGACCTCTCTGCAAAACATGACTTCGTACTTGGTGGCAAAACCCTTGTTGGAATTCACAGAGGTCAGACGTTTCTTGTAGTTGGCCACCAGGTTTGCACACATCTCACGAGGGATTTTGTCCCACTTCTCTTTGCAGATCTTCTCCAAGTCATTAAGGTTTCGAGGCTGACATTTGGCAACTCGAACCTTCAGCTTCCTCCACAGATTTTCTATGGGATTAAGGTCTGGAGACTGGCTAGGCCACTCCAGGACCTTAATGTGCTTCTTCGTGAGCCACTCCTTTGTTGCCTTGGCCGTGTGTTTTGGGTCATTGTCATGCTGGAATACCCATCCACGACACATTTGCAATGCCCTGGCTGAGGGAAGGAGGTTCTCACCCAAGATTTGATGGTACATGGCCCCGTCCATCGTCCCTTTGATGCGGTGAAGTTGTCCTGTCCCCTTAGCAGAAAAACACCCCCAAAGCATAATGTTTCCACCTCCAGGTTTGACGGTGGGGATGGTGTTCTTGGGGTCATAGGCAGCATTCCTCCTCCTCCAAACACGGCAAGTTGAGTTGATGCCAAAGAGCTCCATTTTGGTCTCATCTGACCACAACACTTTCACCCAGTTGTCCTCTGAATCATTCAGATGTTCATTGGCAAACTTCAGACGGGCATGTATATGTGCTTTCTTGAGCAGGGGGACCTTGCGGCGCTGCAGGATTTCAGTCCTTCACGGCGTAGTGTGTTACCAATTGTTTTCTTGGTGACTATGGTCCCAGCTGCATTGAGATAATTAACAAGATCCTCCCGTGTAGTTCTGGGCTGATTCCTCACCGTTCTCATGATCATTGCAACTCCACGAGGTGAGATCTTGCATGGAGTCCCAGACCGAGGGAGATTGACAGTTCTTTTGTGTTTCTTCCATTTGCGAATAATTACATCAACTGTTGTCACCTTCTCACCAAGCTGCTTGGCAATGGTCTTGTAGCCCATTTCCAGCCTTGTGTAGGTCTACAATCTTGTCCCTGACATCCTTGGAGAGCTCTTTGGTCTTGGCCATAGTGGAGAGTTTGGAATCTGATTGATTGATTGCTCCTGTGGACAGGTGTCATTTATACAGGTAACAAGCTGAGATTAGGAGCACTCCCTTTAAGAGTGTCCGCCTAATCTCAGCTCGTTACCTGTATAAAAGACACCTGGAAACCAGAAATCTTTCTAATTGAGAGGGTGTAAAATACTTATTGTAAGAGCCATAAGACAGAAAGTGAGTGTATTATTTCTGTATATACATTTGATGTACATCCGTCATACATTTGTTGACGGACTGGTTATATTTGATTTGGAATATCCCAACTGTGTAGAAACCCCCCTGTGGTTAGACGCTCCGTTGGTTGAACCCACGACGTCACTTCCGGTTTTTACAGTATAAACGGGGAGCTACGAGAATAGCCAGGGGGAGCGAGTGGATACAGTCTTTTAACAGTACGTTTTTGTGCAACTAAGAAATAAATAAACAGTTTGAGTTAAGACACCTCAAACACGCGTCAGGCTTTTTGCTCCCACAAGTTAAGGCGCAGCTTATTTTTTGGTTCAGGAAAGCTGCGCCTACATTAAAATGCAAATCAATTCATAACATTTTTGACATTCGTTTTTCTGGATTTTTTTGTTGTTATTCTGTCTCTCACTGTTCAAATAAACCTACCATTAAAATTATAGACTGATCATTTCTTTGTCAGTGGGCAAACGTACAAAATCAGCAGGGGATCAAATACTTTTTTTCCCTCACTGTATGGAGATGCGCGGGAGACTCGGGGCTGTTGCAGTGGGGGTCTCCACCTGATGTCAAGTGAACGTGTGTTCAATAAATTGCCTTCTCAAGAGAAGTGTGTCAAGTCGTCGTGATGTTTGTATGAATCAGAATATTTATACTGGAGGAATTTGACGAGCTACGAATCTCTTTTTTCACGGATGTGTCCTCGTTTGACACGGTGTTGAGTGCAGTGGTCACGGGTAACTCAGGCCCCACTAAAGGAGATGTTTGCCCAACCGATTTGGTCCATTTGAGGAGACCTTTGGAAAGGCTGCCACGTGCTCGCATACTCATTGCAGCAGCTGCCAAAGGGAAATCGTCACGGAGGCACAGACACATTGGCGGTTCATTGTGGGGGGGGGGGGGTCTGCCCATCACTCAAGGAAACTGTTAATAAAACACCAGAGCAATCTGAGAGTACTAAAAAAAAAACTTTACAGCTGTGCGACTCACTCGTTTGAAGCGCTTGCCCGTCACCATTTTTTTTTACACAATGGACGCTCTGAGAACGCAACCGAGGTGCGGCTTGCGCTATTTTTCAGAATGTTAGGGCGGCCTTTGCAGGGGGCGTTATCTGCTCGACATTGTAGCCACCTACAAGGTGGGTACTTGTACACGACAATTATTGGTGGTGGGTTTTAAACGGAGGGATGAACGTGGCTTGACCACCTCACGTCAAATATGTCATTTCAGAAAGCCATGCAATGCAAACATTTGGCAAAAATTTGCTGTAATTGAAGTCTAAGCTCACAACTGGGGAAACAAAAAAAGCCAATTGTTTAACATTTGGGGGTCCCAGAATTATGACCCACAGGTTGATTGAATTTACGCATAGGGCAGGGTCAGAGTGAAGTCTTGCATTGCTGTAAGTGTTCGTAATAAGCACCTAAAAATAAACAATGCACACCATCGGTATGTGGTGTTTGAACATCTTAACACCTGTTTTATTATTCTTAGCTCTTTCGGTAAAGTCACGTTGAAGGGAAACAATAAAATAATAAAATATATATAAAACAATAAAAATGTTCTCACGACGTTTCGACAATAACACAAACGGTCGTCATCAGGTGTGTCGCTTTGCATAAATTTATTTATTTTTAAACGGTGTATTTATTTATAAAAAACGTCAGCACCACGCGCAGCGATTTGGCAGTTTATTTAGAAGGACTAGTCCATCTATGTTCTGAAAAGAGGAGGGGGGAGACGAAAAATTAATGTATGCTGTCCTGTTTTATTGCCGGAAAGGGTAAAACCTATTATTATTTTTTCATCACCCATTGATAGAAGTGAGATCCGTGAAGGTGATCGTCATCGTCGTCAGGAAAAATGAACAATGATAACCCGAGATTGTTCCAGTTTAGTGTATACGTTGTGAGGCTTAGGAGTTCCAATGGATAGGAAAAGTTTGAACATGGATCACCGCCAGGTGCTGGATTGGAAAATAGCATTTAAGCAAGAGAGTGAAAGATCTCAACAGGCCAAGTGTGTGTCATATAGAATATGTATACGACTGTACCTAAAAGGGCATACGTCTTTAACCTTTGTCTTAAACAATTTGCAATCTTTTTGATCAGAATCAGATCTGTATTTATACTGGAGGATTCCGATTAGCTATAAAGCTCTTTTTCACAAATGTCCAGGACAACTTCAATTAGCTACGATGAAACTTCTTGGAAGTATCTAGAGACGTTTTCTCTTGCATTTTTTTTTATCTTCACATTATTTCACACTATTCCTGTGCAGAGGAGACAGCGGTGGCAGTTAATCAGGTGACAATGCTGCCCGCCGCCCCACCCATGGCAGCAATGCCCTTCAGTGGCCCATTTGCTTTGTGCTGGCGGTGTCGCGTTTGCCAGACAGATGCGTCAGCAGCCCGTGTCCCCCCGTGCTCACGCGGGGGTTGGAGACGAGGAAGCAGAGCTCGGCGAAGAGCTGGCGAAGGCGTCCGCGACCACGTACCGTCTCCACGCCCTTGGCTCCGCGCTTCAGCAGCGGATTGGTGCCGCCCCACAGCAGCGCGACGGCCGTGAGCCACAGCACGCCCGCTAGCACCGCACACACGCATGCACACCCATCAGAATCGGAATTTTTATTTATTTTGGAGAAATTCCATGAGCTATGAAGCTCTTTTTCACAGATGTGTCCCAGTAGTTTTCACAGATGTCCGAATCAATGGCTATGATCTGTCTGCCTGTGATGCAGGACGGTACCGAAACAGACATTGGAATGATTTCCACAAGTCCGATGACCAATAGGAAGACCAAAGACCAGATGGTGGGATCATACTATCAGGGCGGATCTTAAGAGGTCGCGTATCTACCGCACAGCAGCTGCTGAATCTGTCGGAGGGTAGAAAGCATTGGCGAGCTGTGGTGGCATCAATGGATTTGGCCATGCCGACATCTTGACTTTGATCGACTGCTGAATGAAGACCTTGCCCAAGCTGTCGCCAACTCTCACGGTCTCGCTATGCAATGATCCACACAACTCCTGCACGTGTGCCGATGTTCGTCACTTTATCTCTACGGTCCGTCTCGGGCGTGTGCCCTTCTTTGGCTGCCAATCGATCGTTCGTCTCAACCACCAGTCACTATCCATTCTCGGGAAGTGTACTGCGACATTCACTTTTTGTAAAGTACACATGATCTCTCCAACGTGCGTTTGGTCCTCGCACTGCTTCTTGGTGCTATTTTCAGCTTTTGTTCAATTTGCTTCGCCACAGTTCATGTTTCAGATCCACGTGTCACAGCAGGTAATATTAACCCTCGGACGCACACAGACGTATCCATTATTCAGTGGGGCTTAAGTTACTTGCCCTACGTGGCTCCAATGTATTATTTATGAGACGAGTAACTTGTCTATGCGGGACAGAACCACACACCACTCCCAATGTTAGCCATTGCTGGAAAGCAACCAAATCTCGCCAGGTTCACAGTGCTATTACGTCGTCATTATCATCATTATCAGAAAATCGGAGCGATGAAGTTCCCCTTGTGCCAACCAGTGTACAGTGTCCACATTCCACTGCAGTCTATTATGAGCACATTCCAAATCCCTGCGCGTGGCGTTGTCTGCCTAACCCCGTCCATTTCCTCGCGCGATCGTACATGACTAACGAAGGAGAACGGGTCAGCTAAGAAACGCCTTCGCGAGACGGTCACGACGTCACGCGGCTGCCGCGGTCATGTCCCCTTTCCCCATCACGCGGCTGCCCGATCGAGACGGCCGAACGACGAATTCACGAAGCCGTGACACGGGCGGCTTCATTGTGATGGCAACACTTTACATATCTGAAGCGCTCTTCCAGGCAGCGTTTGTACCTCTGCAATGAATGACAAAACCACACAAAATATCACACCGCTCCAATCCCCTTGCTGATAGAAATGGAGCGTGCAAGCGTTTCACTCCTATAATTGCCACCGCTATTTTGTGCATTCAATTATTCACGTCAACCTCAATATCAAATGTAACCATACATATATTTATTCCCATTAGCCAATTAGTTGGGTTAATTAAAATTTATTTTTAAGTCCAACGAAAACATTAATACGTAAATCTTGACTTAAAGCTTTCGTGACTGCAGGAATTCATATTCTTTTGGTCTTTCGGTAAAGTCACGTAGATAGGTTCAAAGAAAATTGTTATTTTCTTTGTTATTTTTGTTATTTTCTTTGAACCTATCTACGTGACTTTACCGAAAGACCAAAATAAAATGAATAAGTAGTTATATAAATATTAATTTAACGTACAGCCAGTCGCCTATGATTGAGCGTGCTTAACCGTAGCCAGCTTGTATAGATCCCAAGAAGAACGTCGTTCGTGGCTTTTTGCAAACTGCCGTCTGGGCATGGCCTGACGCGCACGTGTGGTTTAGGGTTCAAATCTCCGAGTTACTCCTGCGTCACGTGTACCCTTCTCCTCGCCTACGCCAACTATATGGCGTACGAGGTGCCACCACGCTGCACCGCACGTGGTGATTGCACCCAAAGCACGTGGTGTACGGCGGAAAGGTAACCAATGAAACGCTCAATTGGCGCCTCCGAACCAAACTCGGCGCACAATATTTAATTTCAGGTCTCACTTGCTAAAAGTGTCGATGTCGTCTTAGCTGCCCTTTTTTTTTTACAATCTCAAAGTTTTCACTGTTCAGATTTAATAAACACGAGCAGGTGAAGAAAATTGTCTGGTGGTCGAAAAAAATCAACGGAGTGGCGGCCATCGGAAGCATCATGCCCGAGAGGATGTTCAACGGTAAGATTGCAATGACAATTAATAATTGTGTGCAGGTGTTGTTGCACTTTGGAACCACGAGAGAGGTTTTGGTGGAGGCCTTCATCTAGCAATAGATTGATCGTGGCCGATGACCAGAGTTTTTAGCTGTACGGTTCAAAAACAGCTCTGCAAGTCGTACGTCACATTTTTTAAAACCAGAGCTGAAATAACAAAGGTAAAAAATTATACACACACACTAGGGAGTGGTTAGCATCGGGCATGGGTGGTGGCAAACCTGCCAAATGAAGGAGTAGAGAGAGCCCCCCCCTAATAATATAACCGTGGGCTCCAATGAAACTTAATATGGCCCTAAACTACGATTTAGAATTAGATTTAGAAAATACCGCTGCACGTCTGCGAATTAGCACGGGCAAACCTGTTGCAAAACACTGCTGTGAATTACGGAAGGTTCATGGTTTATTGCAGCGTGCATTTATTCGCAAACGAATAAAATCGTAAAGCAACGCAAACAATGTGTCATAATTGACAAAGTATCACGTGCTGTAATAAAAAATGCGAGATTACACATTAAGTACTTTGTAAATAACACATTTATAGAGCGGTTCACGTACAGTGCTCTGAACCCGGCGACATGAATTTTGATTGGCAGCCACGGCTAACCTAAGTAGTGGCCGATATCGCAACCGGCCCGGGCTCTCCATCCCCCTTCACCGACTTGCGTGGACCAGAATTCTGAAGTACGGACAACTCCTTATGAACAACAAAGTGTGGGCAGGCCTTCATCCAGCGATCAATTGACAAAGGGCCATACACGAATCATCCCTGTAATGCCCATTATCATTATGGTCATCGAAATAAATAAAAAAAATTCGTATCATTTACATCATGACCACCATAATCATCATTGTTACAATCATGACCGTAATAATTATAAAGATGATGATGATGATGCCGGAGTTCACCTTGCTTGGGATTATAACTTGTAACCAGATCATGACTGTAATCCCTGTGCCTACATCCCTGCCTTACTTCACGATGAGTTTCCCTCCGCAGCTCTGAGCTGGACATGAAAATTCTACATTTTCATGACGGGAACAGACTTCCCCAGAGTTGGTACTCATTTTATAGAATCTGGTTGGATGAGCTCAACGAACCTATAAATACGACCACTATCTTTAAAAAACAAACCTGACGGTAGCCTTCAAGTCTCTCCATGACCTTCCCCCCACAACAGGTTGCCTCTCTCTTCCCCTGCTTAACCTTTTTCTGTTCCTCTCTTATAGCCTAACCTCTTCTCTATTGCCCATTCTCTTTCTCTTCCCTCCCCTCGCCCCTCCAGTTCTTCTCGTCCCTCCCCTACTCGTTCATGTCCCCCAAGTACCCTCTATCGCGGTAAACAATTCCTCAACCGTTGCACACCCCTGACATCTAAATAATTATTTTATTATGCTGTTTTGTAAACCATGTTAAGCGCCTTGGGCAAAGACGCTCGATAAATACAAATCATAAAATAAGAATTAACTGCCAATATTTCAGATTTTTTTTTTATTACAGTGCTCTGCCACAGTATCAGTGGTAGAAATCCCACATTCCGATGGCAGGGGATATTCAATCCATTGGCAACAACTTAGCAACGGTGGCTTTCCACGCCTGGGGCATAAAATGTTTATACAAAATACAAACAGTCCTTATGTAGCTGTCAGGAGCCCTTTTGTGGCGAGTAGACCTGGACAATTGAGCATTTAGCTCCTGAACGTATTGCCACATGCAATAAGAGTGCAGGATGAGGGGCCTCCCCCACCCCTGTGCGCGTTATTTGAACATACTTCACCACGCTGGTCATGTATGTATGTTAAACTTCTTTTGCGTTGTACATAGCCAACCGTACGAATCGGAAGGTGGGTTATTGGGGGAGCGCTTCATTGAGTAATAAGCGGAATATTAAATGCGTAACACATATCGAGGGCACGGTTCAGGAAATTACTGTTACACTTAAAATCCATGAATTGCAGTACTTAGAAAATATTTCAACCACTAGTCGTGAATAGCACAGGCTATGCGAGGTCTGAGTGAAACAGATCTGACAGAACACACTTAATCTCGATAACGATTTGGCGATGCTGCGTTGGCATTGGGGCAGACATGTTAAATAAAAACTCAACACATTCGTCAATAACACTGTCGCCTTAAAAGGGAATAACATATATAATATCATGGGACCTCCTTTGGCAGTACAAAAATATGAAAATGTTTTCCCCTTTTTTCTGGCAACAAAACAAGTGTTAAGATGTTAAAACACTAAACTGAAACCTTTTACAAGGAATTATGTCTGCATTAACCACAATACTCGTGGTCAGAATGCAAACAAAAAACATACTCTGATAATATTTGTGGCATTGTCTTTGAAACTGATTGGTCCACACCAGAGACAGCTTTCTTTTGAGCCTAGTCTCAAAACGGTGTTAGACCAGAGGACGCCTAAAGGCGTACACAGCACAAAGACAATGCCACTATCAGAATAATGAGAGCTCGGGTATGAGCAGCCACATCATGGGACCTCCTTTGGCAGTACCAAAATACGAGAATAGGTTTCCCCTTTTTTCTGGCAACAAAACAGGTGTTAGGATGTTAGAACACCAAACTGAAACCTTTTACAAGGAAACATATAATTGTTGATGTTTTGGGCAATCCTGTGGTTCTCCGTATAAAGTTGAGGCACCTAAGAAATAGAGTAGATACAAGTTGGGAGACTGCACTTTAACAAAGCCTGCAATAATCAAAATTGTATGACTACATGAACGTATCTATATTT